TTGTGCAAGAAGGAAACTAAATATCTAAAGTCCTAAATTGACTAGATCTAGATTTTTCTTGGCTTGCACTCCAAACAAATCCAAACACACGCCCAAGTACTTCGGCCGCCTCATTGCGCGTCGCCTCTCTCGCACGCCTAATCCTTGTCGCGCGCGGCTTCGCGCGCGCGTCTCGCACGCGTCTTCCCTCGCGCCGCCATTGCCTTGCCTAGTCCCGTGCGGACTAGGCTTCTCGCGCCTGCTCGTTACGCGCGCGTTTCCTTGCGCGCTACTCTTTCGCGACCGCCTTTGCGCGTGCATGCGCCCAGCCCTTCCCATTCCTTCCGCGCATAGGCCTGCGCTCACGCCCATCGCCCACTCGCGCGCTTTTGCGGGCCCATTCCCCCGTCCGCTATTCTCGCGCGCGTCCGTCCCGCCACTACGTAGTCCTATGCCCTCGCAGTTTCGGACGCCGCCCGCGTGGCCCTCACCCGCGCGCCCAGCTCGCCCGCCGTTTGCTGCCCGCGCGTTCCTCACATCACCCGTGACCCGCTCGCCTACCGCGCATCCGCGTACACCCGCGTACACCCGCTCGCTGACCACCCGTCCGCGCGCATCACCGCCCGATGCGCGTCTCTCGCCCTTTCGACCCTCGGCCACTCCCGACCATCCGTCAGCCTCGACAGCCACTTCCGTATCATTCCCCTCCTCTTCAAGACATTCCTTGTCCCCAAGGATGAGAAAGTTCAGCACATCCTCAACACTATCCTCTTCTTCTACGGGGAATTCTCCTTGATCCTCAGTCCTCAACTTAAGTCGCTTACCCGATCGTCCAAACTCCATCCTTCCTCGCTTATAGTCAGTTGTAATTGGTCCAAGCGTTTCCAGCCACTGTACTCCGAGCACAATATCGGTTGCCTTAAGTGGTAAGGCATAAAGATCAATCTCCAGCTCGTGATCTTGTGCCATTATCGGGACCTTTTTGAATAGTTGACTTCCTTGCAGCTCGTGTCCATTGGCCACCTTGACACCAAACTTCTTGACCTTCGTGGGCTCTAGCTTCAGCTTTTGGGCTATCTTTTCGTCGACTAAGTTTAAGCTTGACCCACTGTCCACCAGAACCTCTAACAACGTGTCTTTCACCTCGGCCGTGAATTTGATCATCCTAGGCCCACGCTTGTTGCACTTCACCATGTGCAACCAAGACTCCTCCTGCGGTTTTTCTTCCTCTTGTCCCTCCTCAATTTCCAACACGAAAATTTCTTTTCCTTTGCACTTGTGGCCTGGCGTAAATTTCTCGTTGCAAGTAAAACACAAGCCTTTTTCCCTTCGCCTTTGTATCTCATCCTCCGTTAAGCGTCGGTAGTTGCTCGTGGTTCGCGTACCCTCTCCGACCGTCGGCCTAATCTTGGCCCGTGGGGGCGTGTCGTCGATCGCGACGCTCGCGCGCCGCACGTCCGT